GCTCACCGGCACGCTCCGAAAGGGCGTAATCAGGAGCACACGAATACCATAATACAGCATTCCGTGTAAATTTTAACTTGTTCGGCGCGACCGGGGTACGTATACCGAATTCGCTGTCAACCTCGGTTGCCGACACTCAACGTAGGAAACTTGCCATTGACGCAACTCTAACTTTGAGTTGAGTTGCCTTCCAGGAGACCCAAAAGCCGAGAAATCGGTTGAGTAGCTTCAAGTCCGACGAACTAGGCCATTGTCTTCCCCACAGGGCGGAGCTGCTACTTTGTATCTCCACAGTCGATCTCCTTGGTGAAGATAGGATACGGAGTATGTGAACAATGGATTATGTGAATAAGTAAATGCCTTTTGTCAACCACATTGTCTTTGCCAGACGGGCCGTTGGTTCTGATGAAATTTGGCGAGCCAAGATAAATGCCAGATGGCGTCCCATTCAACTCAAGTTTCGGATAGCAGATGTCAGTCTGCATGGACAATACTATCTGGTTTGTTCCGCTCAAAAGGACCCGAGCTTGGTTCTTGGCAAAGAACGTCAAACCACGGATTATCCAACTGTCATACCATGCACGTTCATCAATCAAGTAGTACACATTTTTAGGTTCTTGTTGAAAGGCCGGGGTGTCTACTGGTGCAGTTCGTATGTACAAAATGTGCGACCCGAGACATTTTGGCGCTCAGACGTGGGTACCAAGACCAGCAGGACGGTGGGCTAGAAGCATTTAGGAAACTGTAGAGATGGGACGTACGAGGAACAAGGTGATTTCGATGGCTGCAAGGTTTTCGTTTGGATATCTTGGGGGCCGTCTGTCCTCCCCAGAGGCGGTGTTTGGAGCGAGGGGAGGGGATAGAAATGGGAAGGCGAGTCGGAGATGATCCTTGTGTGTCTCTGCTGCATGACTACATCATCACAGCTTCGGCTCGAGGTTGTCTGCAACCTTGTCAGCGGTGAACTGCAGACGCCATGACGAGTTGGCCCTGCTTGGCGGTGTTTGCTTTTTGCCTGACACTGACTGACCTGAACCAGCCGAGGCCTGTAGTAGTATATTGAAGCAGGGAATCGGGGAGTACAATACGGAGGTTTCCACTGGGTATAATTAGATGGGAACTTTGCTAATTGACTCGAGCACGGTGTCTCCTCTGGGATTGCTGGTTCATGCTGGCCGGTCCCAGTTTGTGGAGAATAAGGTTGAGGTGATAACTCCAGAGTCAGTCCAACTGGGACCCGGCCGAGCCGTTATTCCCACGCTGGACCACGGCCGTTCAACATGGCGTATGTATCATGTGCTCGTTTGCTGCCTGTCGTCTGCTGCGCTGCTGCGCTGCTGCTCTGCTCCTTTTGGTGCGGTGGTGGCTTGCCTCACGAGACCCTGTGATGCAGATGGGATGGGCCATTCGGTTCGTGCCTCGCCGCGCCTCGCAGCGCCTCCCCGCTCGGCCAATCACGGGCCTCGGGCCTGCCACACCTCTGCACCGTTTTCTGCACCGACATGTTGAACTTCTGCGCCAACGCGCTCAGCCAAACATCTCCATCTTTCTTCCCCCACACCATCATCCATCGATCGTGTCCAGCTGCCAATAACAGCATCTACGTGCGCTTTCCCACGCCGGCGCTTTATCCAGTTGCGCTACCGATTTGCCCAAAGGTGCCTCCCCCCGGTTCTGCTCCCCTGGCATACACCAGGAACGCTATCATGGCTCGGGACTATTCAGCCATCCTCTCCACCGGCACAGACAGAGCATGCCGCTCATCTTATCTCTTATTGGATCCGGCTAATGCCGTGTTGACATTCCCAATACCACGTTCGGTCCCGGGGGCAGGCCCTATCCTGCAACTCGACATTGGACTATCGGGGGTAGCTCAAGCTCGTGGCATCGTCGGCGGTCCTCCACGGCACTCTCAGCCGATGGGGGTTGTTTGCTCCAGGATGAATAGGTGGCGACGGTGAAACAGACTTGCCGGGATGGCGTTGACTTCCGTCGACGTGTGTATGTACGTGCTTTTTTTGTCATGAGTCTTCTTGTTTAGTGCCGTTCTATAAATGTAGTCATATGGCCACCCTTTAAAATCAGATCAGAAGTCTGCCACGGTCACGCGAGACATCAGCTTCCTGATCGTCGAGCAAGAGTGTCTGCAGTTTGCCTCAACTGCTTCATCCTTCCTTGTTCGCTGTTGACTCGAATCAACACCACGCGTAGCCATGCGTCCGGGCTCTCTTCTCCCGCTGCTTGCCTTGGGCCCTGTGGTCCAGGCCGCAGCCGCAGCTTCTTCTCAAGAATCCCGCGATCTGTTTGCACGAGATTTCGAAATGCTAAACTCTCGGGACTTGGAACAGCTCTCTCCACGTGACGTTGAGCTACTGACCAGAGCATTGGTTGAGAGAGGTCTTTTGGATGACATTTGGCAAAAGCTCAAGGACGCTACTACTTGTGCCGGCGGAGAGGTGAGAATCCTTACATGCAACTCTCCATCCATCCATCCATCCATCAGACACATGATGCTAACTTGTGTCTAGCTACTGCTGGGTGCGCTCAAAGTTCTCGCATTCTTCGGTGATGGAGCTTTCGTCAAGGTGATTCAGGGGATTTGCAAGCTTGCAAAGGTTTGTTCTCTGCTTATACAAGACGTCAAATTGATTTGTGCTAACGCCTCCAGGTCCAACCCGGCGACGTTTGTGATGGCGCGGTTGCTCTCGAAGGCCCCATCATAGCAGCTGACATTCGCAAGATCTCTGTTGGCTCAAGGACCTCCAAGGCGTTTTGCACAACCTTCTTGGGCGTTTGTGGATATCCCGATGTGCAAACGTGGGATATTGCTTACCCTTCGGCGCAACCTGCTGGTGGCCGGCCAAAGCCTAGTGGCAAGGATCCCATCAAGATTGTTCACTACTCCGATATCCATATTGATCCCTTGTATGTCCCTGGGTCTAGCACGCAGTGCGACGGCAGGCCTATTTGCTGCAGGTACGTTTGTCCTCACTCCAGCATAGGCAAGGCCGAGGCAAAACTAACTCAACAAAGACCCTACACCAAGGACGACCAACCTGGCAACACCAAGTTCCCAGCGGGACCTAACGGTGACCACATGTGTGATGTGCCCTTTACCTTAGAGCGAAGCATGTATGACGCTATCAACTCGATTGTGCCCGATGCCGCCTTTACTATTTTCACCGGCGATATCGTCGACCACGCCATCTGGAACACCAGCCAGCCGTACAACACCAACCTGAGTAAGTTTTTTTTGTCTTGCAACGCACAACTGCCCTCACAGGCAGCTAACACACCCAAGTCCAACATGCGTACGACACCATGAACTCAAGCCTGAAACTCGTCTACGGCACCGCCGGTAACCACGAAGCCCATCCCGTTAATGCCTTTGTCCCCAATGCCATCGGCCACGACAGCCAATGGGTCTACAACCTCCTCTCCTCTGACTGGGAACACTGGATCGGCGAAAGCTCAACCGCCATGGTCGAAAAGATCGGTGCCTACTCGACCAAGTATCCCAAAGGCAACCTCCGCATTATCTCTTTGAACACTAATCTCTACTACCGCCACAACTTCTGGATGTACCAGTCGTACGAGGACAAGGATCCCAACGACCAAATCGCCTGGCTCATAAGAGAGCTTGATGCCGCCGAGAAAGCCAAGGAACGCGTCTATATCATGGGCCACATGCCGCTCGGCGAGGCAGACGCCCTCCGCGACGGCTCCAACTACCTTGACCAAGTGTTCAAGCGGTACCAAAACACTATTGCAGCAAGTTTCTTCGGGCACACGCATGTCGACCACTTCGAAGTGTCGTACAGCGACTACGCGCACCGCAGCGCTTCCAACGCCTTTATGACCTCGTACATTGCGCCATCCCTCACGCCCACCTCCGGCATGCCCTCGTTCCGCGTCTACACTGTCGACCCGGACACCTTTGCCGTCCTCGACCACACCACCTACATGGCTGACATGACCAACCCTTCCTTCCAGACAACCCCCGTCTGGACAAAGTTCTACTCGGCCAAGGAGTCATACGGCCCTCTCGTCTCACCCCCTCTCACCGACCCCAAGGCCGAGCTCACCCCCGCCTTCTGGCACAACGTCACCGTCGCCTTTGAAAACGACGACGCCCAGTTCAACGCCTACATGGCCCGCAAGTCCCGTGGCTGGCAGCCCGCCTCCTGCACCGGCGACTGCAAGACCGACGAGATCTGTCAGCTACGCGCTGCCCGCAGCCAGGACAACTGCTGGAAGCCAAAGCCCGGCATCAACCTGACAAAGCGGTCCGGTGTCCAGGACGAAAAGGGAGAGCACGACGAGTGTGGCGTCCCTATTACACTAAAGACTCTGTCGGCTGTGGGCGCCGATGACGCCGCGCTGCAGGAGTTGAAGAAGATTATGGACGAAGTTATTGCTGAAGCAAAGGCCAAGGGGATCAAGGGCGCCGAAGATGCGTAGTGTATTTTAGGGGTCTAACAAGGCGTGGTGTTGGGTGTTGGGTGTTGGGTGGTTGGTGTATATAGGTGAAGACGTTATGTACAACATGTACATAGCCCCGTGGCATGGTTATCGATATTGGATAATTTGTGGGAGATTGCATATTAGATGCAAGAAAAAGTAGATTTGAGAGCAAATTCACTATTTTGAAAGACCGGTATAGAAATAGAGCAGAGACTGCAAATATGAACTCGAGATTGCATGTAGGGTAGGGTGGTGGGCAAGATTGAAGGTCCGAATATCCCGCGAGACCAGGATGGAGATAGCGAAACATCATGTCGTCGTTGTCTCTATGTCGTGTTGGTGTGGCTAGCATAGCAAAATCTCGATCATGCTGAAACCCTCACATCTCCCAGCAAGCGGGCGTATTCGGCTTGCGCAAGTCTCCAACTTTGTAGTCACTCGCCATTTTGAATTGGTGGTTGGTTGCCTTTGACAGATCTCCGGGGGCAGCGACCCCTGTCTTGTCAGTGTCAGGCTGAGTGGCTGGTGGGCTCACCATGCGTCACCGTTTTGCTTGCTTTGGTTGTAGTACTTGTACTCCGTACTGTCATTATGCAGTTGTTTTCCAAGCAACATCAACACAACAGCAAGTCTGCAAGGCATCAGCACTGGCAATAGCCGTGGAAGCGCATCGGCAGTCGTGCATGCAACCCGGACTCCGACCCAGACTCAAGGCTCGGCCTTCACTCCTGGACCTCGTCCGCCACCGAAGCAACTCTTTGTCGTCCCGCCCAGGAACCAGCGACTCGTCGTCTGCGGTCGAGCTCCCCTTGCCGGCGTCTCCAGGGGCTGGAGCCGGAGCCGGTGTTGGTAGTAATACTAGTGCCTGGCCTTGGTCTCCAGCTGGCTCTCGCCGGGGATCACTGCTTGCAACGTCGGTGTTTGGCTCTCCCTCCTTCCCTGATGTTGAGGCTCCTGCACCAGCTCCTCTCACTCCCCTGGCCCCGGCCTCAGCAGCTGCTCCTGCCTCTGCTACATCATCGCCTCCACTCTCTCCACCAGGCACGCCCAGCCCAATCCGCTTCGACGCTGGAGCAGCTGTGTCAGAGCTGTCCTTGAACTCTCCACCCTCACCTTCACCACCTTCACCAGCATCGCCATCTCCCTCAACGTCGACGCTGTCATCCTCGCAGCATTCGTCGCCCTCCCCCGAGCGCTCTTCTCCCATTCATCAAGAGCCAGAGCCGACGTCTTCAAACCCGCCCAAGATGCCGTCTGTATGCGCACCCCTCATCAAGTGTCAATGCCATCCAACGGCCGCGCCCGTTTTCTCCATGCCTTCGGCCCCGTGATGGTCGGCCTCATTGCCCCACTGTATCATCATCAAGACTAACCTTTTTGCTTGCGACAGAAAACCAACAAGACCAGCGATGAAGCTGTTCAATATGGTAGGCAATGCATTCAATCTTGTATCGACTTTATTGACGGCTGTTTGCTTGGCTAACATGTTGCGCAGGCAAAATCTACTCCATCTCCGGGTCTGTTGAAGCTCTTCCTCATCCATCAACGACAACGAGCTAATCTGCCAACAGCCCCGTCATTGTGGCCGAAGACATGATTGGCGTTGCCATGTACGAGCTCGTAAGTCGTCTACAGCCAATGGTGCGAGACAAATCCCAAGACTCACGTCCTCTTCAGGTCAAAGTCGGTCACGACAACCTTGTCGGTGAAGTCATTCGAATCAACGGAGATCAGGCATCAATTCAGGTTTACGAAGAGACCGGTACGAACCCTCCTTTGGTGAACCGAATCCATCTGAATACGCTATTTTAACACTCTGCAGCTGGTGTCAAGGTTGGCGACCCTGTCGCACGAAGCGGAAAGCCCTTATCCGTCGAACTTGGCCCTGGTCTGCTCAACGGTATCTACGACGGTATTCAGCGACCACTGGAGGAAATCTCCAACGTTTCCAAGACCATCTATATCCCCCGTGGTATTTCAGTTGCTTCGCTCGACCGAAAGAAGAAGTGGCAGTTTACCCCTGCCAAGAAGGTTGGCGATCACCTTGCCGGCGGTGACGTCTGGGGTAATGTCTTTGAGAACTCCTTCCTTTCTAACCACAAGATTCTGTTCCCACCTCGTGCTCGCGGCACTATCACCAAGATTGCCCCCAAGGGCGAGTACACTGTTGCCGAAAATATCCTGGAGGTTGAGTTTGATGGCAAGAAGACTGAATACCCCATGATGCAGTCGTGGCCTGTTCGAGTCCCTCGTCCCACAACTGAAAAGCTGGCTGCCGATCAGCCTTTCATTGTCGGACAGCGTGTCTTGGATGCCCTCTTTCCCAGTGTTCTGGGAGGTACTGTTGCCATTCCCGGTGCTTTTGGCTGCGGCAAGACTGTCATCAGTCAGTCTGTGTCCAAGTTCTCCAACAGTGATGTCATTGTGTACGTTGGGTGTGGTGAGCGTGGAAACGAAATGGCTGAAGTCTTGAAGGATTTCCCTGAGCTGTCCATCGAGGTTGACGGTCGCAAGGAACCCATCATGAAGAGAACGACCTTGATTGCCAACACCTCCAATATGCCCGTCGCCGCTCGAGAAGCTTCGATTTACACTGGGATTACTGTCGCTGAATATTTCCGGGACCAGGGTCTAGACGTGGCCATGATGGCTGATTCCACATCGCGATGGGCTGAAGCTCTGAGAGAACTTTCTGGTCGCTTGGGAGAAATGCCTGCCGACCAGGGCTTCCCCGCCTATCTCAGTGCCAAGCTCGCTTCATTCTACGAACGTGCTGGCAAAGTTCAGACTTTGGGCTCCCCTGAGCGACACGGCAGTGTCAGCATTGTTGGCGCTGTCAGCCCCCCTGGTGGTGATTTCTCAGACCCTGTCACTACATCCACTCTCAGTATCGCCCAAGTCTTTTGGGGTCTCGACAAGAAGCTCGCTCAGCGAAAGCATTTCCCTTCAATCAACACGACTGCATCGTATACTAAGTACACGACCATTCTCGACAAATTCTACGAAAAGGATTACCCCGAGTTCCCCCGGCTTCGAGACCGAATCAAGCAGCTCATTTCCGACTCGGAAGAACTCGACCAAGTCGTGCAGCTTGTTGGTAAGAGTGCCTTGTCTGATCCCGACAAGATTACTCTTGATCTCGCTGCCCTGATCAAGGAAGATTTCCTGCAACAAAATGGTTACTCAGACTATGATCAGTTCTGCCCCATCTGGAAGACGGAGTGGATGATGAAACTCATGGTTGGCTTCCACGATGAGTCCCAGAAGGCAATTGCCCAAGGCCAGAGCTGGGGCAAAGTACGTGAAGCCACTGCCGACCTACAGGCTAAGCTGAAGCAACTCAAGTTTGAGTTGCCTTCTGACGGCCAGGAGGCAATCGCTAAGAAGGTTTGTTGACCCTTTATCACCGGCTTTCCTGTTATTGGCTAACTTTGCCACAGTATGAAGCCATTCAACAAGAAATGATGGACAGGTTTGCATCCGTCATTGACGAGTAAGAGTAATTTGCAAAGGGGTGTAACCTAGTTTCGTGAGTTGTCAAGAAGATGACACTATAGAGCAAGACTGCCGGTGGCAGGTGGCAGAGCATGTGATCGTATTATAAACTATGTCAAGCTGTATCCAATCCATGTTATTCATACGCTACCACCAGGTGCGTAGACGAAAAGAAGTGGATGTGTGAGTTTACGTGACCGATGTCGTTTTTGTGAGGAACGCGCCCCACAATTTAGCACTGTGCGGAACATCCAAACCTCGAGTCGCTCTGCATATTCTAATCTCATGTCACCACACACCACAAAACAAAAGTGATGCCAGAGGCTTACAATGTCAGACGAGCTGCTGGACGAGGTGGAAGCAATAAACTCTATATACGGTGACGGGACACTGGCACCCACGGAAGATGAGTCCTCATCAACATATATTCTCAAGCTACCCGGAGACGCATCATCGCTTAGAATCCGGTTTCCGGATGTATATCCCGCACAACCACCCCTAGTCCTGGGCACGCACCACTCCTCGGGGGGCGTCAGAGGCGCGGGAGCGAGAGACGTACGTCTATTCAAGGACATCCTGCCGAGCGTCTTCCAGGAGGGCAGCGTGTGCCTGTTTGACGCGGTGGAAGAGTTTGGCAGACGGGTCGAGGAGCAGGCCCCCGGCCCCGAGGAGACGCAGGACGGGCCGGAGGACGAGGAGGCGGCGCCGCGGGAGGAAGAGGACGCCCTGCCGGCCCCGGACTGGACACTGTCCGCGGTCGTTGTGGAGAACAAGTCGACGTTTGTGGCGAGGGTAGCGAGGGCGTCGTCGCCCGAGGAGGCGAGGAGCCACGTCGCGCACCTGCTGGCGTCGGACAAGAAGGTGCGGCTGGCGACTCACAACATCACGGCGTGGAGGATACGCGGCCACGGGGCCACGCAGTTCCAGGACTGCGACGACGACGGGGAGACGGCGGCCGGGGGCAGGCTGCTGCACCTGATGCAGGTCATGGACGTGTGGGGGGTGGTGGTGGTTGTGAGCCGGTGGTACGGCGGCGTGAAGCTGGGCCCGCGGCGGTTCGCGGTTATTAATGGCGTTGCGAGGGACGGCATGGTTCGCGCAGGTGTCGCTGGGAAGTGACGTGCTCTTGGGGGGGGATGGGATAGACTTGTGAGAAGAGAGGCGACTACGGGTGCGGGTGGGTGCTGCTGGGGAACAGGGTCACGGAGATGACGACACGTGGAGGCCAAGAGTTACTTTATTTATATTGGTATCTTGGAGGCGTGGTGCCCCGTGCTGCGTTGGCATTTACTTGGATATATTACCCTCGAACGAAGCATGGATTAGACATAAAACTGGGTTGGATCCGACAATTTTTGTGTGTTACAGCCTCAAGAACCGGACGGTACTATTTGTTCCTGCTATATGAGATGACCAGTGCAAGACTACTCGTCCTTTTGCAGAAGTGGTTTCAAAATACCGAGTGCGCGCGTGGACTGCTCTTCTGGCAGGATAACCACGCCTGCGCGTGCTGTAGATAGGTACGACAGCTCCGACGTGGCCGTCATTTTCATTTCATCAACCAGACGACCTGACACCCCGCACACAATGCCAGTGACCTCGGATGATAGGTTGAGAAGATCAAGGAATATAGGGATAAGAATGTTGTCCATGTCGCCGACGAGCGAGTCGCTAAAAAGGCCAAGGAGATTCTTATCCATGAGAAGCGATGGAGGATCTTCATGAGCTAGTGTAATGGATATAAATCGCGGCTGTGAGATGAGAACAGATATCAAGGACGCGTATAGTTTTGTGTCAACATTCTCAATCCAGGATTGGCGGTTGTCTGTTACGGTGTGACGGCTAATAGACGACCGGTGTCCGTAAGCATCGGCCAGCTGAGAAATTTCTCGCCCAGAGCACTGAACCAACTCAAGGTCCTCATCCACATAGGGAGAAACGCTGCGCTTGTGCAGAAGATCAAACGTTCGCAACTGCAGCTCATTGTCAGTCGAGGGAGGCGGGGTGCTTGGCGGAGACGCGGAGTGATGGGACTCCGAGTTCTTGCGACTATACGTGGGGGAAGTGACAGAGTTGGACTGGTTCTCGGACATTTCGAAGCCCTTCTCGCATAGGGCTGCTATGACATTTTGTCTTTCTCGAGTTGGCGCCAAAATAAAGTCGGAGTAGTACGTTGTGATGAAGAAGATGGGGATACCGGCCAATGCAAGTGGAGAGCTGAGCTCCAACACCCTTGTGGCAGCATCCAGGCCAGCGCCAATGACGGACAGAACCATGTATGAATCGGTAAATACTGAAACGGTCTTGGCCTTTTGCGCCGGCAAGGAGTTGATGACGGGCTCAAAGACTTCCTTTGCCCATGATGTGTGGCATACAATAGATGCCTCCAGCGGTGTGACACTAATGTTCAAGAAGCCATGCTGGTTTTCCTCGGAAAGACCGTCCAGCTCGTCGACGTCAGGTTTAAAGTCTGCCCCGAGATGAAGGCGCGCTGTTTGGGGGATGAGGACTCGAAGAATGGGTTGAAGAAATGTCGTGTACAAGTCGAGGGGGATGTGGATCAACGTGTAGGTCCCATCCTAGGGCTTTGATTAGCTTGAATCGTTGTCGAACTGAACCCAATGATTCCAGTATCCCTTGCTTCATCCTTTGTTTGATTCATCCTTTGAGGCAGCTCCTTCTGAACAGCATGCCAAAGGGGAATGGTGAGCTTGAACGACAGGCTCGCCGTTGTCGGCATGGCGGGGTCATGAGCCATGGCAGTGTGGGGTGGAGGGAGCCATACCAGGAAAGATATTTGGGCACTCATTGCGAGGCCAGAGATGGGTAAAGGCTCCAACAAGCGGAATTGACTCCTCTATTCAATTTCAAGAGGACCGTGGTTTAGTATATGCGTGAAATTTCGGCTCCTTTTTTCGATCGCGGTGCCGAGTTCTGATGGCGATTGTGACCCGCTGTTGATAAGGGCCAGGTGGACTGGAAATCAGACCCTTCGTGCGTCGCTGGGTCCGCCGGACCGTCAGCCTTAACTTGCTTCCTTGCGAAATGAAACGTGGGGTCGGCGTTACTGCCGTTGGGGATGCTGCTGGATGCCGGCTAGGTCAAGACGTACGGAGTAGTGGCGAGGCGAGACGTGGTGTGGTGTCTTGGGAATGATGGTGGAGGGTTGCAAATCCGGAGGACAAGAAGTGAGGTCTAGCCTAGGTCAAGGCTTCGGAAAGTTGGCCACGGTTTTCCGGTTGTCGTGAGTTGGAGGGTTGTTTTGCCTAAGATAAGGCCGTGATAAGTTTTTTCTTGACTGTTCCGTGTTCCATGCCGCCAGCCTGCGTGATCCATTTCTGGCACCAGGCTGTTTTAGAGTTTCCCGCCCACCACCCACTTGAGCAGGTTGGGCTAGCAAACATGGGCAAAACACTTTTTTCCATTTTCCACAATCACCTTTGACACGATTTCGATTGAAGGAGGTGGCCTTGGTTGATGGGCTTGCACACGGCAGTGGTGACGTGTCGGAGTCTGGTCCGACGGAAATTCATAAGGCAGCAAGAGGAAAACCCCAAGCCCGGGCTAATTTGCGAACCGACGACGGGCATTCGCCGAAGCGTTAGACCGGATGGCGGCAATGCTGACCATGCGGAGGCCATGCGGCAGCCATGCAGGTCTGCGTCGTGGCTTGCTTATGCATGATCATGTCCAAGCTTCATTGTGGCACTGGGAGCCCACGATACTGTGATTCGGGCGTTTGTACATATGCTTGTGTACATAAGTTGTGTTGGTTGATCAGAGATGGATCCCCTTGCACATCCAGACGACAATGGAGACCAATGCGGGGCAAGGTGGAAATGACAGGCAGGGCCTATGGTTGCTCCTGCCGAACCGGAGGTGTGGGGGAGACCGAAGTCATCATACCACGCAAGTTCGCGACGAATCACGATTGCCGAATGTTCAAGGGTCAAAGTCGTCTGGAGTGTTGGCTCGAACTCTCTGACGCCGAAGTTCTCCGCTGTACAAGGATATAGTAGTATCTAGATATCCTGGACGGTGAGAACGCCACGGCTTTTCTTTTAACTCCATATTCTGCGTATATGTTAATACTAACTAATGGTAACTAATGGCCGCGAATAGGAGTGTCATCTAATACAAAGTCTTGAATCCAAAATACGCTTTTACTTAACTTGAATCCCGCAAAAAAGAGTGCTTGGCAAGTTAAGCTACGGTACATTGCCTCGAACTCAAAATACAGCCAATCAGAGGCGATCCAATTCCAAACGGAACGACCTCGCTGAAACAGGAACCATGTATGCTGAATGGCAGAAATAAGACAGTTTGACGGGGAAATAGTTGTGTGATGAGGACTTGAGACATACAGAATAACCGGTCTAGTAGTTGGTGTAGCTATCGGGCGCTGATGCTGACGCGTATCTAGATAGTTGAATCACGCCAGCTGAGTCCGCGACTGCCTGCATGGCGAAATCAGCTCGAATCTTGCTCGGCGAAAACTGTCCGCGGCTCTGATTATTTCATCAACATGTTGTGTTCGTCGAGAAAACTATAAATTGCTCTGTTCTTCTCCTTCAAAATGTCCAATTGCAACAGCCGAGAGCATCCATCAACCGACGACAAAAGCGACGCAGAAAGATACCAGTGTATACTCCAAAAGAAGCCGAACTTATATGAACATGTGTTTTGAAGGCTATTTCACCTACTCGTGTCCTTATTGTCCCACCGTGGTCAGAACTACCCCTGTGAAACACAATCCGCCATGTGACGAGTTTTACAAGACGGGGAAGGTCTGTCCAGGAGGCTTTGTCGAGGTGCTGATTAAAGATTGGAAAGTCAAGTGTCCTCCATGCACTGCTAGGTCTACAACGAATCGGAGAGCCAGATATAGCTGAGTCTGCGCGAGATGGGACGTCGGCGTTGACCAAGGTCGCATTTGCCGTCGATGAATCTCTCTCGTACTGACTGGGCCGAGATATTCATAACGATCCATCACTTGTCCGAT